CCATCATGTAGAAAGATGTTCCACCATGCTGGATGTGACTGGTTCTGATCCATCCTGCATTTATTTATTGATCCAGCAGGTTTTATTTTCCTCTCATGATCATTTCTCAACAGGTTCTGAGGCATGTGAAGACTTCTTTCCCAACACTTCTGGACAACTTCATGCCATTTTGGACCGTTTCATTTCGTGTCAGTTGGAGTAATTTCAGACAGTTCTGGAGTGATGTTCTACACGTTCACTTCATGTTTGGGTGACGTTTGAGTCATTCTGAATACGAACATCTCCATCAGGACCATGAGGAGCTGCCAGAAGCAGCTGAAAACATGTACGCCTGAGATTTGTCTGACAAATGTCAACAGACGTTATCGATGTGATCTCGTGTTTGGAAGCGATAGGAGCAGGTGATACCGCTGGAGAGATCCTACCGACCCACACGTCTGGGAACGATAACGTCTGGGTCACATGTTTAACTTGGCGTCGCCTCCAAACCAACCGATGTCAAAGAAGTCGGTGGTGTTTCTGCATTTTCTTCAGGAAGTGGATCGTAAGCTGTACTTTGTGTATCGAAGCTCAACAACCAGCATGTAGACCAGAGATGACGGTAAAGCAGCGCTGAGGTGGACAAGCGCTATAAAACCGTTTAGATCATCTGAACACAGCAGCCAGCTCCTGTGGTTTATTCTCCAGTAGCTCTGGTTCAGTAGAACATAACCAGCTACAGGGATTCAGACTTTTACCGGGTCTATAAACGGTGGTCCCCTCAAATTAAAAACAGATTTCTACAAAGTAGTGATGAACCTTCAGCTCCATCATGGATCTCAGGTTGGTCCTGACCAGCTGCCTGTGATGTGAGCTGAGAACACGTGACTGTTCATAAGGTAGATCATTTGCAGGTTTAGTACGTCTGGACTTTGGACGCTTTGTCAACATGTCAAACTATAATTCTGTCGAGTCACTCAGGCGTGCCAGAGGTTAACGAGGTTGACTTAACGGTGATAAAGGATTTGTTTGGTTTGGTGCTGCTGGGTGCAGCAGTGTTTAGGTGAGCTAAACGCTTCCTGGCTGGTTAACGAGCTACAGTCGTTCTGCTGCATTAGCTTCACCGGTACATGCTGCTCTCACCTTCTGTTTATTTTCACCTTTTTATACTGTGGTCTCCTCAGACCAGAGAACCTTCTTCCAGGTGACTCCAGAGTCTCCACATGTCTTCTGCTGAACTCTAGTCCTGATTTGTTGTGGTTATTCTTAAACTGTGGCTCACGTGTCTCAGAACTCTGTGGGACATCTGGTTCATCTGCAGATGATCGGTTAGCTGAGGAGCAGTTTCTATCGATCACAGTAAAAGGTGCCAATAAACAGTGTTCATTCATTCATGACAGCCACTGACCAGCAGGATTTCTCTTGGAGTTCAGAAAAAGCAGCGAAGCAGATTCCATCAGAACAATCGTCTTTTGCTGCAAAATATCAACGCTAATATCTTCACAGTGTCAATACCGACAAAAACACCAACGTCCTGGATAATAAGGCCCCTATAGATCAAAAATAAGGATACTAACATACAGTAGTACCCCTAACATGGATATGAATGTAAAAATATGTCAATAATTATAATATCAACGTACTGAGATGCCAACAGGCTTCATATGAACAGACAAGCATATGAATAACTTGGATAATGATGCACCAATATATCAATAATTAGCATATTAATGTGGAATCAATCAGATCAGTTTGGAAGCTGATCAAACTCAAACGTCGGTCCAGATGAGTTTACACGTTAACATGACGGTTAGTTGTGATGCGTCACATCGTAAAAGCGACGTTCAGCGGGTCCATTTAACGAGGCTCACCTGCCATGGAGGACACGTTGATGATGGTTCCTCCCTCCTTGCCGTACTCTTTGCTCATGTGCTCCAGAGCCAGGTAGGTTCCTTTGATAACCGACGTCTGCAACGCACACAAACACAAGCTTTAACCTTCACGTCCACACGACTCCTACAGCCGGCTGTGCTCGGTCAGAATCAGAATCATGAACGTTCAGTAAACTACTGACAGGAAGTCCGTCTACAGAGAAAACCGTCTCAGAGTCTCATTCTGATTGGACAGCAGCTCATCCCAAAGAGCCTTTTATCCTCTGTTCAGACTCAGCATGCGGGTTTCTTTGACTTCAGTACGTCGACTGTAACAAAAGACTGAACATGCTGCAGCGACGGAGCCACAAAAGCACATCAGACATGGAAAAACAAATATCTGTAGAACAATCCTGTTTTCAGCTGATTTCAACACAGAAAGTCAGTATAATGTTACACCACATAAGAACAAACTGCTATTAGTAATACAGCCTGTTGGTGTGGACGTTATTTACAGTTTTAGTCTTGATTTTAATACACTTTTTTACATGTAAATTAATGCTTTCCCTCATATTCTGCTGCTGAAGGTTGGAAACGATCCCCAACTTCTACCAATCAATAAAAATAGAACTATTGAACCGCTTCAGAGTGGATTTTACAGGACGATGAAAAAGTTTTGTTCGGTTACAGTAAATATAAAATGCAGTCGTACATGATTCTGGTCACTTGGTGGCAAAAAAAACATAATAATAATAATAATAATAACAATAATAAGTATATCCACAGTGAAGCCGTCAGAGGAACAAGCTGCTCGTCCTGCTGTCGGCTCGTTAATACTTTCAGAATAAAAGTCAGACGGTTTTATTTCCAGAATATTTTATCCGTATGAACAATAACCAACGTTCTCTTCTCCATCTGTTGCCTCCGACTGTCTGTAAAACTCACATTTTTGCGGCTGGACTGCTGCACATAAGCTGCTTTTCTCTGCTGATGTTGTCTGAATCCCAAACAGACGCTTGTTTACACGTTCAGCGGTTGCCAAGCAACGGTAGCTTTTGTTTGTGGACGTGTGTGGAGACGGTTTCCTGTTGAGGCTGAAAGTGAATTAACATCAATATATTATCATAGATATATTGATTTAAGGAATGGGCATTTCAGACGGAGTACCACAGGGTACGATTAGAGGCCCACTGCTTGTTCTTTTTAGAACCCAACTGTTACTGTCATGTTCTGAATGAAACCGCTCTCCGACCGCCGCCTCAAACAAACACTCCAGTCAAACGTGTTCACACCAGGCAGGGTGGTGGAGCGTCATGACACAGGTCCGATCACTGACCGACCCGTTCTACCACCTGAGCCACAGCCGCCCCGTCACTTCAACAGACGCTCCTTTGTGTCGGAGAACCAGAGGAGCTGAGCTGTGGGTCCGTTTGAGGTCGGACAGAACCGATCTGGTCCACGGACCTGAAACTCACCAGGTTCACCTGGATGGTTTTCTCCCAGTTCTTCTCGTTGTTGATGCCGGCGTTGTTGATGACGATGTCCAGTCGACCGAACTGGTCCACGGTTCTCTGGAAGGCATCTGAGGGAACAGAGAGAACAGCCACGACGGAGAAGTTAAGGATCTCGTAACATCTGGAGAACGGCTCACAGCAAGCGGAGAACGTTCCCACAACATTGGTGTGGGAACAGGTTTACAGCATTTTAATCTGATGGCCAAAGAACGTTTAGAAGTTTGGATGTCGTCAGAAGCAAAATGTTAACGAGGCGTCTGGAGGCAGAACGTTGACTGCTGAAGGAGAACATTTGGCTTTTTGTGGAGGGAACACGTGATAGAACGTTCTACCAAAGACAGGACGTTTTTATTTAGACATTCACTTAAAAAAAATCTATAAATACTTTCTGGTGTTTCCATTTTTTTTGTTTTTGTTTAGGAACATTTGTATAATTGTGTAACTTAAGCGATTTATGATAATTGTTTGTTTTTAGGTGTTATTCAGTAGATTTCTCAGGATGTGGTGAATTACAGACGACATCCAGTAAAATCACAAGAAAACAATACTTCTGTTGCTGAGAAGCAGTCATTGGTTTACAGACTGACTGTAGAGCAGAAGTAAAACATGAATAATCTGACAGGAAGCAGAGAAAAGCTTTCTCACAAATACTTTACAACATTTGAATAATTACAGTTTATTTAAATGAGCAGGAATAGATTATTTTAAAGACATTTCCTGAGCGTTTGGCTTTATTTTTCTAACTAAGCAGGTTCTGCAGCGTCCCGTCTACGTTCTGGCAGCTCTTCCCTGAGCTGCATGTTTTCGGCCGACTGCGGAGTCACGTCTGCGTTCAGGCTCTGTGTCAACATCAACAGCAGTTAACACCGAACCACATTCCTCAGCAGCTCGCCTGCAGCCTCTTACCGTCTCTGTGTGTCAGACAATGAAACCTTGTTCGTCTCACACCTCCACGCTCAGCTCCTCCTCCTCCTCGGCCGACACGCTCGCACAGATACGAGCGGCGCTGACAGATGTGCAGCAGAAAAATGAAAGAGTG